GCCTCGATGCGTCGCGAGGCGATAGCGATGTCGATCTCGCGGAACCACCGGTTTAGCGGAAGCCGGTTTTCACCGGCGCCAGAATACGTAGACGTCTCCATCTTGACGACGTCATTCTGGGATGGACGCGAGGGAGTTGACACCCGCCGATTCGCATCGGCGAGCTCGCGTTCCATGAACTCTTGTGCTGCAAGGCGTTGCTGGTCGGGCGTCGCTGAGCTCAGCAGTGATGCGACGACAGCGTCTCCGGACACCGCCACGAGGCGGTGAAGCGCTTCCCACTCCACGCGAGTGAGATGGGGGAATGCAGCATGCTCCAGGGTTGCCCCGGAGATCTGGACTTGGCTCATCGTAGACTTGGTTGTTGGAAGGACTACGAAGTGCTACCAGGTGTAACGGGGTAAGAGATACCGTTACTAGCTTACACTATAGTGCGGAGGAAGCTCGCAATAATAAAACCAAGTCTTAGGTTTGTGTCAAATTCAACTCTGATTTATTTAGGACCAGGGCGGCTACCCCTGGCCTCGTGTGAACCACTCAAAAACATGTCTACATCTGATTGGTCAATAAGTGAGTCTGGCTCCTCACTATCAACCAATCAGATGATGACACTTTGGCACACGCTACCCGTGTGCCACTTTACCTACTTATGTAATAGCTAAAGAAATATCTACCTACTTATGTAATTGGAGTTGGGCCCATTACAGATAACCCGCTTCCCGCAGAGCGTGGTGACAAATATGAAGAAACCCGCCCGGGTGCTATCCTCAGAGGCATGTCGCAAATAGTCGACGCTATATACCCAGACATTAACAGCCCAGAAGTGACAACAGATGAGTACTTCGCCAATCGCACGATTTGGACGACTATAAATGCGGTGGTCCATCGCAGTAACGAGCCGGTGGCGGACCGTTTACAAGGTTAGGCCAAGAAATATGTGTATTTGGACTCAGTGCAAGATGACGTCGATGGCAATTGTTTTAGCCCGAGGTCTCCATTTGCTGAAAATGAGTGGTATCCCACCCCACAAGCCGATGCCCAAGAAGGGCATGCCTGTTACGATGATGCAAAACTTGAAAGCTGATCTTGGGTTGTGTAACGGGACGCGCTTGCGAATGGTTCAGCTAAAGAACCACGTCATTCACGCAACCATCATGACAGGCGATCGCCAAGGGCAGCACGGGCTCATCCCTAGGATTGTTTACATCAGTGACGACTACGTTGGAAATTTCCCTTTCTGGATGAGGCGCAAGCAGTTTTAGATTCAACTCACTTTCGCAATGACTATCAACACGGTGCAAGAGCAGTCTGGCCAGTACCTGGAGCTGTACTTGGCGACACCGTGCTTCTCCCACGGACAACGCTACGTCGCAATGGTCTGGCCAGTACCTGGAGCTGTACTTGGCGACACCGTGCTTCTCCCACGGACGACTCTACGTCGCAATGGTCAGAGTCACAGCAAGGTTAAAATACGAAGCGCTGATCGAATACCCCAAAATGGAGGAGGAGGAGGACGGAGTGTATACTAGAAACATAGGGTACAGTAAGACCTTTGAGTGTAGGCAGGAATATTTGCATTAATGTTTTTCACGCTGTCTCGCTTATAAACGAAGCAAACCTTTAGCCAGCCAGAGCAAAGTGCAGGCGTGCTGCCTTCATGTCTGAGAATGTGATCTGACACTAAATACAACACGTTTTTTACAGTGCAAATTGTCCTATAATTACTTTGATGATGTGTAATACACAGACATCAGCCCGTCGGAGCAAATCGGAGGCAGGTGTCCTAAACAGTTGGGACCTACCACTGACCCACCGCCGCCAAGCAGCCGCGCTCGGCTAGTCCAAAGCACTACTATACAAGCGTGTCCGTCTTTTGGTGAATCCGTCCGTAGAACAAAGATGCATCTATCACTGGACGAAATGCTGCCGAGCCGCGAGGCGGTTCAACACGGCAACCTTGCAGGTCCGACGCCCCCCCCCCTAGCCACAGCGTACCGACTAATCATGAGATCTGTGCAGTGAGCCAATGACGAGCGAAACGGATGTATAACACAATATATAACATGCGCATAGTCTTACATATGACCGAGTAAAAATGAAAAGTATTCGATAGCGCATATAACACCCTGGATCCTATCAATATATTTTAAATTATCCGGTTAAGTTCAAGTAGCCGATCATAGGTACCGGATTCTAAATTACCACCCATATCTTCCACTTCAATTCCACTCTTTGCTTATACCGATGCCAAATGGTCACCCAAATTCCACACTTTAGTTATACCGATACTTCTCCGGTCCGAAAAAGAAATACCAGCTCTTTAAATCGACGATAGCTTCGGTCGTACAGCTCCAACGGAAGCGTGGTTGAGCTAGTTTTTAAGATCTACTTACGTAGCGTCAGAGCGAATTTTTTTATGAGCAAATTTTCCTACCATTTGAGCTATCACTTTATGGAGGGGTGGAATTTTTTTCGCTTTGTCGTCAAAAATAATCAGAATTAAGCTTAAAAATATACTAGAAAAAGTGTAAACGGAGCTTAATCTAGTGATATATTACTAAAAGCAATTCCGTGTCAATTACTCTCAATCCGTGTGCATACAAATCGTCAGACGAACATTTTTTAACCAATCGCACCCATAGACATTGACCAATCACATATGCGAGGGTTTTTTATTGAAAAACCTAACTGGTATTTCTTTTTCGGTACGAAAGCTGTCTTACGGACCATGCTCATAAGTTTTAATGATAGAGGACCAGAACCCTGTGCTGAATGAGTTGCACTCACATCATGACTTGTTGTCAGTCCACAGCTCGCGACCGAACACGGCCTGATGAAGAATTACAAGAATTAGACGTGCTAACCAGCGCGATCCGTCCAAGAAAAACAGCAATATTATAATTTCCTTAGGCGTCTATCTGATGACGACACTGGGGGCAAAACGCTTGTATTGCCTCTTCAATATCAAGAGCGTGATGAGGCGGGAATTGCACCTCAATGCCGATAGAAAAGTGAGAACTAGAGCTCGCTGCGCCCGCGTCTAGCAAACAGTAGCTCGGGATCTTCTCTCCTATCGAAAAAAAATTTTCATTCAACATCTGAACTCCAAGTCTTCTTTGGTTTTGGCTGAGAAAGTGAAGTCCACGGAGCCAAAGATGTTCAACTGGACTCGGCCAAGAGCAGCAGCATCGACATCGACAACCACCTCGTAAAGCTCAGCGATCCTGAGCACGTGGCGCTTGCTCCGCTGACAATCTTCGCAATGCCTCCCGAAGCGGTCGAGTGCAATGGCCAAATCCTCAACTAGCAGCTACAGGTAAAGTTACGTATATGTTTATCTACTTGTACATCTTCCTTTTTCTGCAGCTAATCCATTGTCCTTCCTCCACACGGGTATTCGCGTCAGCCACCACGTGGCCTAATTGGTCTCCATCTCTGCATTTTCTTAGGAGGCCATCATCGTGTTGGTGCTGGTAGTCTGTGAGGACAGCAGTACCCAGTACCATCATCTCCATTATGGACTTCACGAGAATGACTCATTGTCAGCGGAAGTAGGCAGATCCAGACAACGCAGCTTGACTTTCACAATACAAGAACCCGTTTTCCTGGAAACCGAGGTCGTTTTCTCTTCATCAGAAGCATCGTCTTCCGCCCGGGTGACTAAATGATGATGTTACGGATACTTAGACACATTTGCCAGGGCTAGTGTGCATTTCCGTTGTTACTCCGTGATACTTTCTCTAAAAATTGATTGTGTTTTCATCTGATAGGACCAATAACGGATAGACGGGAATACAAGCAATTAGAATGTCATTTTGATTACAAAAGCTGATGACCAATGCGTAAAGATGGTCAGCCACCCAATTACATTACATCGGATGGCAAATTATGGCTTTATCAAGGACTCCACGAGACTGCAAATCTGCCACGAGGATGATAACTCAACGTGGGACCTGCGACATATTCCCTTCAATGGCAAGCTTTTGCTTATAGCAGTTCAATAGCCCAGCTCAGTACCCAAAGTGGTGATCTTTGGAGGAACGTTATTTCTCGAAGTCTCCGTCAGTCTTCCATTTCACCACTTTCACCCCAATGTAATATCGTAGCCGCATTCTTGATCCGACAGCATTATTTCTCCACTAGCAGCACACCGATAAATGCGTCCGTCACCACTCCCCTGGTCGAACGCCTTGAATCAGCAACGTCAAGCTACGAAAATAGAGATCTGCGTTAACTTACCGTTGTCCGTTCATCACTTGCTGCGGGTCTAATGGTGTTCTAAAACCCATAAATTGCGAAGTAGATTGGCTTCGCTCTGCCAGTTGCTGTACTTCTTCGGTTGCTCGGTGCCGGTGTTACTTAATATCCAGAATTGATCTGCGAATGCTCCAAATCCAATTAGCTGTTGCCCTGTAATAGCGTAGCAGTGAGAAGAATTTTCAGTCAGTCATACAAGACACTCAACGAAGTGCTTGGAATGATCTGCTTCGTACAGTATCCGTACTTTTTCAGCTTGGTCTGGCCCAACTCCTCGCGGATTAACTGCCACAAGCTGTTGTAAAAAACATCATGCAAAGCGGTTGGTAGCAGTTCGGGCTCGAGCCACGTGTAGAATCCACGCTAAACGTTGCTTGCCCGGAAAAAGAATACAGTTGCTTCTCGATCTTCTGATGGCTTCGACGGACATTAGTTTCGTGTAGATGACGCTGCTTAAGCTGCAAAACCCGCGTATCTGTAAGCTCAGACGTAGCGCCCAATACAGTCCAACGGTAAGAAATTGGATTCGTTTTTGACAGTTCAGTACTATTTTTGAGAACGCGGTTCGGCCGTGGCTGAAATAAATAGGTCCACGTTCTATGGTCCCAATGCCCTTTTTTGGACTTTCGTCGCAGTGGATTTTTTTTTCCTACTCCGATCCCGCTTCTGGACTCAAAGTCTCCGTTGGGTCGTCTCGGAAGGCGACATTTCATAAGAACGAGAAAGAGCTTGACACCCAACGAATGGTCCGCGTTGTGTCATGCCACTTCTTGCGCCTCAGCTGCAGCGAAGATGACCACCCGCTCTTCCGGCGCTACTACGCCAGGTGAGGGCGATGGTCGTCATCGGTCTTCATGGCTAAAATGAGTCTAATGCAGCTGTCTTTGTCTAGGTGTAATCGAGAACGAGGCGTTAAGGTGCTGCCTCTGTGTTACGTCCAATCACTTTTTCCCTCTCTAATAAATACCTCATAATCCCCTCTTCGGTGTTAGCTCTTGCGGTGCTTCCCGCACTGCTGCCCGGAGCATGTGCAGCGCTGCTACTGCGGTACTTCCATCCACGTGCAGGTGTCCTTCACCACTATCCTCCCACCCGTCGTGCGGGATAAACTACTGGTGTGCGCTCGCTTCGAGCCATCGAGAGTAGTCCCACTTTGGCCCAATAACGTAGCAAGCGCACCTGGGTATGACGCCATGCAGGAGGATGAGCGCAAATTGCAGCCTGGTGAAGTCGTAGCACTTCCTGCGAGTCTCTTGGCCGTGGAGAAGCGAAAACCGGACCAGACGGTGTGGATCCGAGCTGACAGAGAAGGTGAACTAAAACAAAAGACGCTCCCACAGGTTAGAGGCTTTATAATATTTCTTATCTCTACGAATCTCAAGTGAACTGCACTTAAATCATTTTGCTTTAACGTTTTCATCGGCCAACACGCTACAGAACGCCGTTTTATACGTGCTCAACAACCACCGCTTTCCCAAGTGGCAATATAGTTACGACAGCAGCGTCACCAGAGCACAACGAGAGATGAGTCATCATTTAGTCGTCTACGTCTTCCAGCTCACAGGTAGTAGATTGGACTCTGGAGAAATTGAAGCGGCCATTCTCGCCCGCCATGAATCGCCAGGTTTTTATCTAGTTTCTTACCGTCGGTCAGGAATTAACGGCCGTGACACTGGCTGTGAACTCCCTGCACTTGACACAGCCTCGAACACCAAGCTCGCGGCTGTTGAGGTTGATTTATCAACGTTCACTTCGACGTCTGATGCTGTACAAGTGCGTTTCGTCGGTCCGTCAGTGTCAGCGGGTAACATATCGAATCTTGAGACCAAGATTGCAGCGTATCCATCAATTATCACCACAACTGGGTGCTCTATTGCCCCTCAATCTGCTGCTGGTGATAGTGACGCTGCTTTTTGGGCCTCCGACGTCCGTGTGTACCGATCCGGCTTGGCTGAAAAGGCAAAACACTTGCTCATTCTATGGCGCTTTCTCAGCTTTGTGACCCTGGAGGATGCTGGTATAACACTGGACATACTACGCACACAAATCCGATCTCATTGGCTGCATGCAGCTAGAGTTCTCCAAACTTCATCACGGACACCAAGTTGGAGGCGACCGTCGCAGTTGGAGTTCGTCATAGGCTCACTCCTGCTCAGCCTTTGCAGGGGTACGTCACTATTTTCACCGCACCAGACCGCCACGCATGAGCAGATAGTGGTCCAAGCCACTGCTCATCTTCTTCTTCGAGCCTTATCATCACGAGCCGTCCAGTACGCGCTCCAAACGGCTTTTACTCTGGGAACGGGGGGTATGGACAAACGACACATCCGAGAACGATTCATCGTATTGGTGTCGGATTTATACGACATACTGGGCGATCTATGTCGACTGGGGTCTTCAGACGTAGCTTCAGTGCTCCCACGCGATCGCATCTCTGTGCCCGCTATCGTGGATGAAGTGGTTTCATTAATCTACACTCAGAGGCAATTCACGGAGCTTCGAAATGAGATATCAAGGATGTTGAGAGGACAACTGACATCTCATTCAGGACTTCTAGATTCTAATCTAGAAAGCCTCTTTGGTTATTTTACAGCGCAGATGAACGAGGTGCTTTTTGCGACGCAGAGTGGACCAGCTGCGTTGATCCATTTGAGAGGCGCGGAAAATGCATGGACTCGTACATGGCTGCTAGAGCCCGGCTCAATCCAAGTAACCAGAATCCCTACATTGTTCGTCGAGCCGTCGCTGGTGAGCTTCACTCGGTGGGTTCACGAATTTGCATGCATCGAAGTCGCGCTAAACGAGAGCGAGTCACGGTTATCTGTGAGCTCTTTACTCCCAATGATAAAAAGGGTGGCACACACCGAATTCCAGCTAGATGGTCGTCTGCGATCATTTCGGTCCACACCGAGCGGGATCTCAACGATGCTGCCAATGGAGGGAGGATGGTGGATTGGTGATTACGTAGGGAGTTTTTCAGCCCAAACGAACACTCTTCTACTTGATCTTTACGCTACTAGGGATAGTGCTGAAAACGGAAGCATTGACGCTAGTACAACCGTTCGCCGAGTCAGCGTATCTTTCGTATTGGAAGAATATTTAAACGCTGCGAATTTTCCATCTTCGTTCTGCAGGAGAGATCGATCTATCGTCTTCAATGGCGTTGTGGCTCAGGCAACTTACGAACAAAACTACCCAACCTCCAGTTCTCAGGTAAAGCTCGGTGATGCGTCTACGGTGATCCAAGCTATAATACTTCAGGGGATGCAATGGACAGCGCAGATTAAGCTTCAAGGTGGCTACGTTGCCGTCCCAAGCTGACACATCACACTAAACCACGGTAATAATGTAGTCTCTCCATATTTTGTGACAGGATGATCCATGACTCAGCTTTACATTACACACTTGTGTTGTATGGTTGTACATAGTACGCTTGACGCATCATTGAACCCTGATGCCCACCGTCTACGCCTATCCATCAGATTATAGTATCTGCAAAACACAAGCAGCTGAAATGCCCTCATCTTCGCGATATCTCCAGGCACCCAAGGCTCTCACAAGAAGGAATCAATAATAGTAATGGGGAAAAATCGCGCGTTGCGTTTCTTTTAGAGATGGTCCAAGCTGCTTTACTTGAGAAGCGCGGTCAATACAATGGAGCCGATAGTAAGCTCTTGTTAACGCGGCGAAGCTCACATATACTCGTCACTCTATTGATCCACAGTCCCTGAACGCTGGTTTATCCATCCTTGGGAGAACGATCTCGCATTCGGTAGCAGTAGATACATTTCCATGCTTATGTATTTCCTGCGTAGAATGCTATACTGCAGCTATACACGGGTCGCTGAAATTCTCATGTAAAGGTTAGCTGAGACCACAAAGTATCCAAATCATGATCAAAATCAACGACAACACGCACATCGATTCACCATTACTTGTTTTGCCTTGTACCGCGCGCGTGTGTGTATTCGGTGTAATGTATTACTCTAATTGAACGATGCCTGTAATACGAAAGGAAGGAATGTGTAAGCGCTTGATATCTATCGGTACACGGTCTTGCAGAATACCTGGACCTCACAACTGGAAAAGAGCAAAGCAACGCAATGTTCCAATGAAAAATGAAATTTTACGCAAGAGGAGAGGCATCTATTTCTCCATGGACAAGAAAATAATACTTCATCGTCGTGTCTGAAGCGCCAACTTGGCGTGTCCAGTTGAAATTTGCAGCATTACCCTATAAAACGATTCCATGGGTGAGAAGTTACGTCTGTGTACGTCGTCAATCCACCGACATCTGAATACACAGGTCTTGGAACCAGCTTACACGACAAATTAATTGCTTGCGATATATGAGCCGTTTGTATCAGTTGAATGTCGAGTGATTGCAAGCTGGAAATATACTGATCTGGATATTATTTCATGATGTAAATACGACATGACTCACACGAAACCATTATTCCTGCGTCATGCACCGAGTAATTCGTTTGATGACGGAATGTCGAGAGTGCAGGCGTTGATTGTACGGAGTGCGCGTCGTCCACAAATCAAGAGTGGTAGAAAAGCTATCGGACGCCGCAGTAGATACTGGGTTCATTGTATCGTGAGTAAATACACGCTCTAATTGTTATACTCTGGCCGGTCTTCTTGGGTTGCGACTTACAGCTCGGGTGTCGACTACAGCGAGAATGGAAATACGGTCTTCGAACGCGATGCCACAAGAAATCGTAGCCCTCAACAAAAAAGCGCGGCCAAAATCCGCAGTGGCACCTTTGGGAGACGACAACATCCATCCAATTTCGGTCACGTGTTTGTACTGGCGTCCTCGTCGCTTTTTCTGGCCCTTTATTGCTGGCAGCGTGAGTGAGTAGACGATATGGTCGGCTTGACACGCCTTGGCTTGCAGAGGGCGCTCGGACTCTCCTTTCAAGAGATAAATGTGAGAATGAATTAACATCAATAGCTAGATGTTTTGTACTACTATTAACGTTCCTGTGTTTTTACCTAGCTTCATTGTGCATGTTGTGCAATCACGTCGCCTCTCCTCCTCCTGGTGGGGACGCTGCACTGCAGCTCCTGTCGCTTTCGTACGCCACCATGGCAATGTACGTGTCCCTGGACTGATACATGTCAGCGTCTGCTTCCGAGCTCGAGCACCGGAAACACACGCTGTAAACGTGAGCACAGCAAATCGTGTAGCTTTGACGACTTCATTTAAATAGACGCCCCCAAAATCTGTAGCGGCATCTTATCGCGCTGGTAAGAAACACTCGCTGTCAACTTTGTGCTTTCGTAGAAATAGTGACACGAAACGTCATGCCTTCTTGGATACTAGTGGAAGTTGGAGTCACTCTAATCAATAATAGAATGTGCAGCTATTTGACGATAGCGAAGCATAGTGAAATCGTTTATAGCTGCAAAATGTTATCGTCATTCGTAAGTAGTAAGTACTCACCGGAGCACATTTCTCGGTCAGCTCAAATGTGCCTGAATTTCACAATCCAAGTCAACCTCATGTCGCATAAGTTTCAGCAAATTTATACGTGTCAAGCTCGAGCCAAGCATGTTATAACTTTTTGAACTGATATTAAAAAAGCATAAGAAATAAATTTAAAAAAAATCTATTTCAGTGCTGGTAGTTTCTCTTGGAATCGTAGAAGTACTAGCAGCATTTTTTTGGTACTATTACAGCACCAAAAGTACGGCCTGCGCCAAGGACAGCATTTAACGTAAAATGTAGCCTAGCAGCAGCGCCTATACAAGTAGAAGCTGTCTACTACTAATATGGGCCACCTGCCAGGACCCTTTTTTATCTAAGGCAAAGGCTCGAGACAAGGGCAGAGACCCAGAGCAAACCTATCTGATGAATCAGATTAAATAATTCCGTTAGGCTATACAGCATCGCGATTAGAATCAGCTGGCATACCTACGAGTAGTATGGCGGCCGCGTGTAAAGACCTACGTCGCCCATATCTCGAAGCACACAGGCATGAGGGGCATGCTTTTTTTCCCTGATGATAGCAGGTACAGTACACTTCGAGTATACTGGCATTAATATGTGCCAGCACAAACACGACCTCAATGTTGTCGTGCTCTGTCAGTGGCGGATACATACATTCCAGCTACTGACACTGTTTATACGATCGCTAGAGAAAAATAGGATTTAACTTCAATATCAGGATAGATTGAAAAATGGTTGTTTTCGTCTTAAAAAACTGCTGTTTCTAGGCTTCTTCGTGTACCGCAACGACTTTGTTATATTTATGTACTGCGTGCAAAATTCTTAGTAAGCTAAGCGAGAATACTGATTCAGGTGTCCGTCCACGCAGGCAACTGACAAAACTTGAAAAGTTGCCCAAGCGATAGTTTTCCTTTTCAACATATTCAGGCTCTTTTTAACGTGGAGCAATTCGAATCGAAGACTAAAGTCTGCACCCTAAGCATGCGGTAAAACCATCGCCTATCAGAATTCCAAGTAATATATTGCATCTCCCAAATTTAAAGTCCCTACCGAAATGCTCAAATTTGAGCGGTACAAGTAGAAAAATACCAATCCGTAAATGTAGTTTCATTTGTACTAGATGGGCGTGAGTTTTCGGTATGAAGGCACGTTAATGTATTGCAGATAACGCAAACTTCTGCTGCAAAACGCAATAAGGTACTTGAGTAAGTAAAACGTATGAAATAATATCCAGCAAGGCCAGCGCCACAATATAAACCGCAGTAGCAATGCCCCAACTGCCTGCACCGCCTGGATAGTAGACAATATTCAATATTGGGCAAGTGCTCCAGAAGCGACTTAGACACCACGTACACCATTGGGATGATGCACTCGACGTACTCAATAAATTCAAGATATTCACAGTGAAAAACAGCTGCAACCCTTGCAGAACCAGCTTTTTAAACTTCTCTGCGTCAAGCTTGAGCCGTTTGTAAGCGCTATATGCGAATACAGAGATTTCGGTACATGTAAGGATGCTGGTACGATAGAAGTACACTGTTTGAACCCATTTGGCGTTCGACAGGACTCCCGCGGACGGCACACACCTGCTTTTTCCAGAATACGAAGCTCTTGAGCTTGTCCGCTTGTAAGCGAATGTGGCACGGCAGCCCACAGACGCACATATTCCAACGACTTCTCCTTCGAAGCTTCTGGTTCTCTAATGACACTAAGAATGGTCGCTTGCAAGTGTGTCGTGGCGGGTGTGCGATGTTTACGGTCAGCAAGCTGCTGTTCGGTAAGTCGAAGCAACAGATTGGCATTGTCCCCTAACTCACGTGTCTCCAAGACTAGTTGTATTGGATCGACTATAATAAACAGAAATGACAGGTATAATGGTCCAGACGATGACATACACACCGATACGAAGAGCGAGCTGAAAAAGTCCACGAAAAATACTACGGATTCTGGTATTATGTCGCTCAAGTTACGCGTCGCGTAAGCGATGAAATGCTTGGCAGCGAATTTCCAAAGCGGTAAGATAATAATTACGATGATTCGATACGCTACAGGGACAAAGTCGTACAAGGAAGGAGCCCCCCCCCGATAAATGTCATGAACGCGCGACGGTGTATCTTCATGATACGAAAATCACTCACAAAAATACGAGATCCAAGACTCCGAAGAATCTGATTGGAATGGCTCCAAATTGCAGTAAAAGGGGCATGGGAAACCCGCAGCAAGAAGGAATGTGGCCACCTGTCCAAGAGCCGTGCCCGTAGTTGCGATCAATCTCTTGCAAATCGTGAAATTTAAACCCGGAAGGAAAGTTGCGACTACTGGGTTTGAAAGCCAAAATGCCCAGTTGGCTGCCCACCCCTCGAATGGCGGTCGGAGAGGGAGAGATTCAAGCAATACAGCTACCGAAAGGGACGGAATGCGTGTGAGAATGCAGACCAGAATCCACGATGTCGGATTGTAGCAATTCTCCAGACTTAGGAGACGTTCGATCGAGTACGATCCCTGGCGACCAGCGATTCCACTTCTGTCGCCAAGATATCGAGCGGGGAGAAGTCCAAGCAGCGGTCGTGTCTAACGAGGGAACAGTCGTGGCCATTGAGTTGAAGGCTGTATGCTGAGAACAATAATGACCAACATTTTTTTCAGTTTCGAACACTGAAAAGCTCGAGTAGTCTTTGCTCTGAAAATAGCTGGGACTCTTCTCCTCTTTTCTGTTGGAAGGAACGTTGGGAACCAATGGACTGTTCTCGCCGTTGACTCAACAGGTCTTAGTTTTGTTTTTAGCGATTACTTAAAGGAATACGCTATCAAATACTCAGAAACAAATTTTATGCTAAGTCAGCTTCTAAAAAAAAGTTACCATCACGCTACGAGTAGGAGCGAGCCATGGCGATGTAGTCAGCTTTGAACTCCCACCAGGCCGTCCACTCCACCTCGCTCCAGATCGCAGCTCGGTCGACGGCTGATCTCTCGGACAGGTTAAATCCATTCTTACACTCATTTAGCGGTAGCGATAGCGATGATCCGTAGACTGTTCCACGCACTAAAGCGATCAGCATCTTGTGGCGAGTCAACTCGGCGGCAATTTCGTTTTTCTTTTCTTCCAGTCGAATCGACAAACTCACTCGACGCACATTCACGCTCTCTTGGGAAGTTAAATGTGTCTCTTGGGAAGTTAAATGTGTCAAGTGAGCACCTTCGGCCTCCTCTTCGGCATAGCTATAAAGGTTAACCTCCAACGAATGCCCGACTTCCGAGAACGTAGCCGTGTAGTCGCCAATGACCCATCCTCCTGTCGTGGCGATCATGGACGGAGTACCACTAGGTAGAACTCGAAACAAATGCAGATTCCCGTCTGTTATAAGTGTCATTGGAGCTGATGTGGACGTCGACATAGCAGATCGCAGCGCCAACCAGGAGGCGTCGTCGTTAACGGTTAAATTCACACAGCCGACTTCTGACAGAAGCTGTACGATGTCAACGAGACGCATCTCTGGTCAATAATCTGTTGGGCTGTCTGCTGATATTTCGAGAATCTCCACCGATCCAGGCTCCAGAAGCCAGCGCTGGTTCCAGATTTTATCATTATTTCGAATGGGGTATCTGTATCGAGTCGCAGATGCTATCATCTCCTCCCGTACCAAGGCCGTAAATGAGTGGAAGGCATGATTTAGAGTCTCGGATAAAGCACGCGCTGGCTGCTGGTCCATGAGCAACGCAGTGAATCCCCCTCGAAGGTGATGATAACGTGGGAGGCTGAATACTAGCGACAGCACTTCGTCAACTAATGTAGGTATGGATACATGTTGGCTCTCTCGTGTGCGTGCTACCTCATGTAAAACGCCACTAAGAGTGTCATACGCGTCCGAAATTAGCAACAAGAAACGTTTCTGAAGCTGTGGCCTGCTCGTTTTTGTGTCGTTGATACATGTAGTACATGCCGACAGCAGAAGGCGTTGAACGGTGTGGGACGACACTGCACGTAGAAATAGATACGCGGCCACTCGAATAGAAGCGAATTCTCGCTCCGTTGACTCGATTTCAGTAGCTGACGAATCGAACCGGTGTTCGAAGATGCTCATCAACAAAGAAGCGACGCCGTCGTGATGAGAACGACTGTATTCCGACGATCGAAAACAAGCCGCAGCTTGTACCCAGAACGAACGCACCTTTTTACTGTCTGCCTCGGTACGTTTGAGGTCCTTGAGCGAAATACTTTGCAGAAATCGCCATAAAATCAGTAGATGCTGACCCTTTTCTCGGAAGCCACAGTTGGCCGCCTCCAGACGATGTTGCTAAAAGTACTCATCTTCCGCAGTACCGGGAACTGGTCGTGGAAAGGCCCATTTATCGAACTGTTTGTGTTCCTCAGTCGGAGCCTCAGCCGACGTCCACCCGACTGCATCAACTTCCATTGAGTCGGACGCTACTGCGGTGAACTTGGTGCTAGCGTCCGCGTCGATAGCAGGCTGCTCGCATCCAGCGTCGCGGCCATTGTTGCCGGATCGGCGGTAGGAAATTAGGGAGAAACCTGGAGATTCGTGTCGAGCCAGTACCGCGACGTCGATCTCTCCAGACTGTGAGCTGGTCCCTGTGAGCTGGCAGACGTAGACGACCAGGTGGTGCGTCATCTCTCGCTGAGTCCTGGTGACGCTGCTGTCGTAGCTGTAGAGCCACTTGGGGAAGCGGTGGTTGTTGAGCACAAACAGGACAGCATTCTACCAAGTCGGACCGGTGTCAAAAGCGAATACACACAAAATGTTTGTAAGAAACGGTGTTATCCTGTCGAAACGCGGATAACGATAGCGAACCTGGTACGTCTGCTTGGACTGGCCTTCTCTGTCTGCGCGGATCCAAGCGCTCGGCGTCGCCTGTCGGTTGTCGTTAGATAGCAAGGTTTCCGGCAGCGAGGTCACCTCTCCTGGTCGCAGTCTGTGCTCTTTTGTCTCGTCGTTCTCCCCAAGACTAGCGACATCCAAAGGCCACAAAGGAACCACCCGCGAAGGTTCGAATCGAGCGCAGACCAGTAGATTCCTCCGACTTGACGCAGCTGCAAACGTCACCAAAACGTGGACAGAAGATCCGCAGTAGCAGCGCTGGACGTGCTCCGGACAGCAGTGCGGGAAGCAGCGCAAGAGCTGCCACACAGTGACGCTAAGACCTCGAGTCGGTGAGGCGAACCTACGTGGAAGTACCGTACCTTAACGCCGCGTTCTCGATTGCTCCTAATGGGTGAGTCATCACGACGAGTCAGCGTTCTTTATAGTGGACGGCTATAATAGCGTTACGGTACCTGGCATAGTAGCGTCGAAAGAGTGGGTGGTCGTCCTCGCTACAACTGATGCGCAAGTACCGGCACGAGACCACGCGGACCATCAGCGTGTTCTACGATCCAAAGGTTCGAGTCTTCTTAAAGGGGAGAGCCGAGAAAAGAGCTCCAGTCCACCCGACAAAAAAAAACCGCCATCGGGTCCCACTCGACTTCAAAACGGGACGCGGAAAAGCTGGCTGGATCGATTCTCTTGTACAGAGGGAGCATCGCAACTATAATATGCAAAATTGTATGCTTGTTTAAAATTCATGGTGTATTTTTGTTTCAAAATCGCCTCTACGTAAGGAACCATGATCACCAGCACTGCATACATGTAGCTCCCCCTTGCCGCCCACCAGCCAGCTGTATTGATATTGACGAAAAGCCTCACTGGTTCTTGAAAGACGTGTCTACCGGCGCATTTCGTGCGGCTCTATTATAGCTGCACTCGTTCTTCAGAGCCCGCTGACCGATGATGCTGTAGTCCTGGACGGGAAAGAAGATTTGGCGATTCTCGTTTCGTTTTTCAGTAAGGCGTGAAGTTTTGGTAATATTGCACAGCAAGGAAATTTAGAACGTGTCGGCGGACAGCTCGGCCTGGGCCGTCTTTTATTGCAGTTCTTCAGCGTATTTGAGCAGTCGCCGGTATCAATGAGGAAAGCCGAATACAAAGCGATGCGCATAGCTTTTAGCTGCGACTCTACGCTGTTATCGCAGGTCTCTTGGAGCGCTAAATCGCTGGTGAAGGTGTGCATCCTTGCGTAGTAGGTAAGATTTCTTCCATCTAACATTACTCTTTTTTTTTACAGTTTTCGTGGATTTACAGTTGAGTTCTAAATTCTAGATCGTGTTTGACTAAATTAATGTTTCATACCCAACTTCAACAAATATCTAAGAAAACTCTTACACGTGCGACGGGATTCAATCAAGCCATTCCGGCAAGAAGAGTATGTTCGGGCCGTTGCTGCAGGGTATGGCTGCTCTCCTAATATGCTCTTTTATGAAGGTATTGTACCTCATGCTGAGCTGACGTTTACAGGTATGTTTGTTTCGTAAGCTGGATCTTTGTGCACTTCTAGCCCACGCTGGTACTTGGCCCAGGTGTCTGACGACGTCACGTGAAGATTGAACACAAGAATAAGACTGCAATTACAAGTACCAGCATCACACGAAGAACTCTCGTCAGAATGACGTATCATTAAGCGGACATAGTGGACCGCCACTATCCACTTCAGGAATCGCTCGCTACTATTACCTGGTGGTCCTGAGTACCTGCTGTTTAAGTGCTTTGTGTGATTTCGTTATACTATATTCAGTGACCGATGACGCAGTTTTGAATTATATTCGGCATCGACAGTGGGAAGAGGAAATAATGAGCGTACTACTGTCGTCCCCGCGCACTGTTGTATCTTCGCTGCAGCGCATTTTTCGGAAATTTGATCTGAGCTGTTCTTTGACAAGGAATATATGGGAGTAGGATTCTGTCGGCTGACGCTGTGATGTAGTGCCAGGGAACATGATTTGAGGTTTCGAATATGGACGCCTGGATCGAATGGGCCATTCAACGTTCGATTTCCGCATCAAATGTACAAGTTCTTCAAGTATTGGACAAATTGCTGGACGGGATTGTGTCCTGTGCGGTTGCTTATAAGAATTGAACAGATGAAGCTGGTGGACAACTGACACTACCCAGGCACCCACCCCAGTGACATGCAGATCAGTCTATGACATCGCTTCCTACTTCGTTAAAAATCGTGGTGACAGTCTTGGCTGTGGTTAACCAAGTCGGCTCCGTTTGTTGTCAGCATTCATGTCGACTTGGGCGTAGTTTCATGGCTCGAGCTGTGTCGCGGGCGGCGCGTTTGTCGAAATCATCTGAGAAAAGAAGATATAAAGTGTGAGAATATCGTAGCACTCTCATGTATTAATACCGAGACTCGCGGTTTCTTCACATTGGCCTCAGCTGCTTATTGTTCACCGAATGTGAAGACTTTTCGCCGCAGAATTCAGCGAATGTGAAGAGCAAAATCCTCAGCATTTTTGTGAATATAACGCAAAGGTATGGTGCGACTCTAACTTGTGCGTTGGCCGACTGCAGCCTTGCCGCTACATTCTAACAAGCTTGGACGACCTAGCGGCGAATATGTACCCGGCAAAACATTCCCTATACAAATATGAGCAGGATAACTGCAGCATGCAGTCTTCGGCTAGGTCACTGCTTTAGTTATATAGCGCGGCATGTTCATCCCAGCTAGACCTCTGGCAGCTTAACACGCCCGTTTGAGTATACTGGTGACTGCAGAGTAGAACAGCATCACCAGCAGGGCATGAAAAAAAACCTTTTATTATACTGCTGAAAAATTCGCTTGAAAATGGAGATTGTAATATCCAGGTTTTTATAATAAATAGTTCCGGTCAAAAAAATTCAGTTACTATTGCAATAAATAAATTTCTTCCTTGGTTTTTGTATGTCTATTAAATCTAGCTTTATTTATCTTTTCAAAAGTTCCAATAATAGCAATTCCAATACACCTTTAAGCAGTAATCAGTTATTCCGTAAATATAATACCCATTATAATAATATTTTACTATTTTCCCATGCCCTGGTTACCACAGCAGTTATGACGATCGTCGGTAACTGTTGGCCAGTTCGTCAAGACGAGCAGTGCATTCCTAACAAATGTAGCTGACCATTCGTCACCAGATTTTTTATTTTACTGAAGAGGTAATGCAGCGAAAAAGTACGTAATCTATAAATGTGTTCTCTTCACAATATCTTTGCAGCAAATATATGGTGAATATTATGGAAGTTTGCGAAACGTCTGAAATAATCATTATAATATCCATCTTTCAATAATCCATACTTAAGTATTTCCGTGCAAGAAACAACAACAGTTATATTGCAATTAATATATTTTAAAATTAGTTGTTGTAAGTCTGTTTAATTTAAATTATAATAATAAGTCCAAGACAGCTACGAGCATATTCAGTTTTTCCGTAGAGCTAGTACCCGTAATAATGACGGCTTATTATTTTTCGTATGCTCTGGTTAGTCGTATAGCCGACAAACATTATTTTAGCTCAATATTGATCTAAGACTGAAAGCGTCCCCGAAAATAACGTTAAATAATGGGTTTGTTTGAGGTTGCACGGTGTATATTGACTTGTCCCACCACCATGCCTGGCTGAGTCTCCATACGATTATCGACATGCGAGAACATGTGAAACGAGATACGAGCACGACTTCGGGGGCACTGTTGAATCTTACGCAAGATGATCCCATTCAGCAGTTTTAACAAATATTCGTGAGATGAAACCAGTAGAACTACTCTAACTTTAGGCAATTTATGTGTGGAGGTCCCAGCCGAAATTTGACATTGCGGCCTGTTGGGTTCATGGCAACGTAGGATTTAAAAATGTAGAAAAGCGATGTGGTGTAGAGCGGTGGTAAAATATTGCGGCTCGAGGCATTGCCTAGATCTTTTACAATGCTTCACTATCGTCAATACTCTATCTGTTTGACAATACTAAAAAACATCCAAGATCTCGCCCCTTCGTATCACTATTCGACACATTGGTGGCCTCCACAAAAACACAGAGTTGACAACGAGCGTTCCTTACCAGCGCGACAACATGTCGCGGCGGATTTTGGACGCTCCTACTTGAATGAACTCCTCAACGCAACGAGGTTTTGTACTCAGTGTGTGTTTTCGGTACTCGAACACCGCAAACACTCGCAGTAGCCGACACACGAGACCGACCATACCGTCTATTCACTCACGCTGCCAGGTCAAAAGGGTCAGAATAGCGACGAGGAACGCCAGTATAGACAAGGTGCCGCGGCGGAATTTGGCCGCGCTAATTTTTTGAGAGCTACGATTTCTTGTGTCTACGTGCTCAGCGTGTTCTAACGTCGTGTATCCTCGCTGTAGTCGACGCCCGAGTTGTGTATCGCAGCCTTAAGAAAATGTGTCAGAACGGCTGGCGTGGAACGATTAGATCGTCAATTCACTCACGATAACGATCAGAAGAGCGGCGAGGATGCCAGGGTAAACACGTGACCACAATTTGACGGATGACAATTACGATTTATGAGAGGTTTGTATCAGTTGAATGTCGAAGCTGGAATATATCGCTCTGGAGAGTATTCGATGACTGTTTACGAGGTGGATCAGATGAGAGTATTATCCCTGCGTCATGCATTGCGTAATTATTTTGAAGGTTGAATGTCGAGAACGCATGCGTTCATTGTACTGTGTACACGTCGTCACAAATCAAGGGTGGTAGTAAAGCTATCGGACGCCGACTGAATTCATTGTGCCGCCACCGTGTTCTGCGCTGTGAGCTCCCGGTATTTACAAGACCGCGTTTATCGAAACATCTTAAGCGCTTCAATTGCAATGCCTCATCGCTTCGAATTGCAGGCAGTGTTCAACCAGAATGATGCATTTCATGGAATAGACGGTACAAGGCAATACAAGAATGATGAGTGGACAAGAATGTCAAATCGATGTGTGTGCTTTACCGGTTTTTGTCACAGGTCGACTTGAGCTGATGCTTTTGATATGGACTATTGAATTTGGCTACTTTGTGGCTTCTGCTAAGGCTGACCATCCTTACACAATACTTTTAGGGTCCGTGTGTAGATACAGCACAGTATTCTACACAGATAATTAAATGAACACGGAAATGTGTGTACTAGTACTGATGTTCTTGCGATGCGAGAGCGTTCCCTCGTGTTGCAACTTCTGAAACGGATTTGTGTAAGGATGGATTAGCCAGCGTTCAGGGGACTGTGGATCTATAGCATTACGAATATTTGTAAACTTCGTGTTGACTATGGTATCACCGCGATAAAATGAGGATAATTCAGGACTATCGGTTACACTGACAGCGGGACAAATTGTGTGCTTGTCAACAGGTTCTTTAAAACAAAAGTAACGCGCTTTTTCTTCCCAGTCACTACTATTGTTTGGGTATCGCGGGATTGCGTTATGCAGATACGATAATCGGATGGATAGGCGTAGACGGTGGGTACCAGGGCTCAATGATGCGTCAAACGTACTATGTATAACCATACAACACAAGTGTGTAATGTAAAGCTGAGTCGTGGATCATTCTGTCACATTATATGGAGAGGCTACATTATTACCGAGGTTTCGTGTGATGGGTCAGCTTGGGACGGCAACATAGCCACCTTGAACCTCGAGCTGCGCTGTCCACTGCATCCTTTGAAGTATCATAGCTTGGATCACCGTAGACGCATCACCGAGCTTTGGCTGAGAGCTGGAGGTTGGGTAGTTTTGTTCGTAAGTTGCCTGAGCCACAACGCCATTGAAGACGATACATCGATCTCTGCTGCAGACCGAAGATGGAAAATTCGCAGCGTTTAAATATTCTTCCAATACGAAAGATATGCTGACTCGGCGAACGGTTGTACTAGCGTCAATGCTTCCGTTTTCAGCACTATCCCTAGTAGCGTAAAGATCAAGTAGAAGAGTGTTCGTTTGGGCTGAAAAACTCCCTACGTAATCGCCAATCCACCATCCTCCCTCCATTGGCAGCATCGTTGAGATCCCGCTCGGTGTGGACCGAAATGATCGCAGACGACCATCTAGCTGAAATTCGGTGGGTGCCACCCTTTTTATCATTGGGAGTAAAGAGCTCACAGATAACCGTGACTCGCTCTCGTTTAGCGCGACTTCGATGCATGCAAATTCGTGAACCCACCGAGTGAAGCTCACCAGCGACGGCTCGACGAACAATGTAGGGATTCTGGTTACTTGGATTGAGCCGGGCTCTAGCAGCCATGTACGAGTCCATGCATTTTCCGCGCCTCTCAAATGGATCAACGCAGCTGGTCCACTCTGCGTCGCAAAAAGCACCTCGTTCATCTGCGCTGTAAAATAACCAAAGAGGCTTTCTAGATTAGAATCTAGAAGTCCTGAATGAGATGTCAGTTGTCCTCTCAACATCCTTGATATCTCATTTCGAAGCTCCGTGAATTGCCTCTGAGTGTAGATTAATGAAACCACTTCATCCACGATAGCGGGCACAGAGATGCGATCGCGTGGGAGCACTGAAGCTACGTCTGAAGACCCCAGTCGGCATAGATCGCCCAGTATGTCGTATAAATCCGACACCAATACGATGAATCGTTCTCGGATGTGTCGTTTGTCCATACCCCCCGTTCCCAGAGTAAAAGCCGTTTGGAGCGCGTACTGGACGGCTCGTGATGATAAGGCTCGAAGAAGAAGATGAGCAGTGGCTTGGACCACTATCTGCTCATGCGTGGCGGTCTGGTGCGGTGAAAATAGTGACGTACCCCTGCAAAGGCTGAGCAGGAGTGAGCCTATGACGCACTCCAACTGCGACGGTCGCCTCCAACTTGGTGTCCGTGATGAAGTTTGGAGAACTCTAGCTGCATGCAGCCAATGAGATCGGATTTGTGTGCGTAGTATGTCCAGTGTTATACCAGCATCCTCCAGGGTCACAAAGCTGAGAAAGCGCCATAGAATGAGCAAGTGTTTTGCCTTTTCAGCCAAGCCGGATCGGTACACACGGACGTCGGAGGCCCAAAAAGCAGCGTCACTATCACCAGCAGCAGATTGAGGGGCAATAGAGCACCCAGTTGTGGTGATAATTGATGGATACGCTGCAATCTTGGTCTCAAGATTCGATATGTTACCCGCTGACACTGACGGACCGACGAAACGCACTTGTACAGCATCAGACGTCGAAGTGAACGTTGATAAATCAACCTCAACAGCCGCGAGCTTGGTGTTCGAGGCTGTGTCAAGTGCAGGGAGTTCACAGCCAGTGTCACGGCCGTTAATTCCTGACCGACGGTAAGAAACTAGATAAAAACCTGGCGATTCATGGCGGGCGAGTATGGCCGCTTCAATTTCTCCAGAGTCCAATCTACTACCTGTGAGCTGGAAGACGTAGACGACTAAATGATGACTCATCTCTCGTTGTGCTCTGGTGACGCTGCTGTCGTAACTATATTGCCACTTGGGAAAGCGGTGGTTGTTGAGCACGTATAAAACGGCGTTCTGTAGCGTGTTGGCCGATGAAAACGTTAAAGCAAAATGATTTAAGTGCAGTTCACTTGAGATTCGTAGAGATAAGAAATATTATAAAGCCTCTAACCTGTGGGAGCGTCTTTTGTTTTAGTTCACCTTCTCTGTCAGCTCGGATCCACACCGTCTGGTCCGGTTTTCGCTTCTCCACGGCCAAGAGACTCGCAGGAAGTGCTACGACTTCACCAGGCTGCAATTTGCGCTCATCCTCCTGCATGGCGTCATACCCAGGTGCGCTTGCTGCGTTATTGGGCCAAAGTGGGACTACTCTCGATGGCTCGAAGCGAGCGCACACCAGTAGTTTCTCCCGCACGACGGGTGGGAGGATAGTGGTGAAGGACACCTGCACGTGGATGGAAGTACCGCAGTAGCAGCGCTGCACATGCTCCGGGCAGCAGTGCGGGAAGCACCGCAAGAGCTAACATTGAAGAGGGGATTGTGAGGTATTTTTTAGCGAGGGAAAAAGTGATTGGACGTAACACAGAGGCAGCACCTTAACGCCTCGTTCTCGATTACACCTAGACAAAGACAGCTGCATTAGACTCATTTTAGCCATGAAGACCGATGACGACCATCGCCCTCACCTGGCGTAGTAGCGCCGGAAGAGCGGGTGGTCATCTTCGCTGCAGCTGAGGCGCAAGAAGTGGCATGACACAACGCGGACCATTCGTTGGGTGTCAAGCTCTTTCTCGTTCTTATGAAATGTCGCCTTTTGAGACGACCCAACGGAGACTTTGAGTCCAGAAGCGGGATCGGAGTAGGAAAAAAATTCTGACCGCGTCCCACTGACAGCGACGAAAACTCGGTATCCAAAAAAGGGCATTGGGATACAGCATGGACCTATTTATTTCAGCCACGGCCGAACCGCGTTCTCAAAAATAGTACTGAACTGTCAAGAAAGAATCCAATTTGGACTGTATTGGGCCCGTCTGAGCTTACGGGATACGCGGGTTTCGCAGCTTAAGCAGCGTCATCTACACGAAACTGATGTCCGACGAAGCCATCAGAAGATCGAGAAGCAACTGTATTTTTTTGCTGGACAAGCGACGTTTAACGTGGATCCTACGCGTGGCTCGAGCCCCAACTGCTACCAACCGCTATGCGTTATGTTTTTTCAACAGCTTGCGGCAATTAATTCGCGAGGAGTTGGGCCAGACCAAGCTGAAAAAGTACGGATACTGTACGAAGCAGATCATTCCAAGCACTTCGTTGAGTGTCTTGTATGACTGACTGAAAATTCTTCTCACTGCTACGCTATTACAGGGCAACAGCTAATTCGATTTGGAGCATTCGCAGATCAATTCTGGATATTAAGTAACACCGGCACCGAGCAACCGAAGAAGTACAGCAACTGGCAGAGCGAAGCCAATCTACTTCGCAATTTATGGGTTTTAGAACACCATTAGACCCGCAGCAAGTGATGAACGGACAACGGTAAGTTAACGCAGATCTCTATTTTCGTAGCTTGACGTTGCTGATTCAAGGCGTTCGACCAGGGGAGTGGTGACGGACGCATTTATCGGTGTGCTGCTAGTGGAGAAATAATGCTGTCGGATCAAGAATGCGGCTACGATATTACATTGGGGTGAAAGTGGTGAAATGGAAGACTGACGGAGACTTCGAGAAATAACGTTCCTCCAAAGATCACCACTTTGGGTACTGAGCTGGGCTATTGAACTGCTATAAGCAAAAGCTTGCCATTGAAGGGAATATGTCGCAGGTCCCACGTTGAGTTATCATCCTCGTGGCAGATTTGCAGTCTCGTGGAGTCCTTGATAAAGCCATAATTTGCCATCCGATGTAATGTAATTGGGTGGCTGACCATCTTTACGCATTGGTCATCAGCTTTTGTAATCAAAATGACATTCTAATTGCTTGTATTCCCGTCTATCCGTTATTGGTCCTATCAGATGAAAACACAATCAATTTTTAGAGAAAGTATCACGGAGTAACAACGGAAATGCACACTAGCCCTGGCAAATGTGTCTAAGTATCCGTAACATCATCATTTAGTCACCCGGGCGGAAGACGATGCTTCTGATGAAGAGAAAACGACCTCGGTTTCCAGGAAAACGGGTTCTTGTATTGTGAAAGTCAAGCTGCGTTGTCTGGATCTGCCTACTTCCGCTGACAATGAGTCATTCTCGTGAAGTCCATAATGGAGATGATGGTACTGGGTACTGCTGTCCTCACAGACTACCAGCACCAACACGATGATGGCCTCCTAAGAAAATGCAGAGATGGAGACCAATTAGGCCACGTGGTGGCTGACGCGAATACCCGTGTGGAGGAAGGACAATGGATTAGCTGCAGAAAAAGGAAGATGTACAAGTAGATAAACATATACGTAACTTTACCTGTAGCTGCTAGTTGAGGATTTGGCCATTGCACTCGACCGCTTCGGGAGGCATTGCGAAGATTGTCAGCGGAGCAAGCGCCACGTGCTCAGGATCGCTGAGCTTTACGAGGTGGTTGTCGATGTCGATGCTGCTGCTCTTGGCCGAGTCCAGTTGAACATCTTTGGCTCCGTGGACTTCACTTTCTCAGCCAAAACCAAAGAAGACTTGGAGTTCAGATGTTGGATGAAATTTTTTTTTCGATAGGAGAGAAGATCCCGAGCTACTGTTTGCTAGACGCGGGCGCAGCGAGCTCTAGTTCTCACTTTTCTATCGGCATTGAGGTGCAATTCCCGCCTCATCACGCTCTTGATATTGAAGAGGCAATACAAGCGTTTTGCCCCCAGTGTCGTCATCAGATAGACGCCTAAGGAAATTATAATATTGCTGTTTTTCTTGGACGGATCGCGCTGGTTAGCACGTCTAATTCTTGTAATTCTTCATCAGGCCGTGTTCGGTCGCGAGCTGTGGACTGACAACAAGTCATGATGTGAGTGCAACTCATTCAGCACAGGGTTCTGGTCCTCTATCATTAAAACTTATGAGCATGGTCCGTAAGACAGCTTTCGTACCGAAAAAGAAATACCAGTTAGGTTTTTCAATAAAAAACCCTCGCATATGTGATTGGTCAATGTCTATGGGTGCGATTGGTTAAAAAATGTTCGTCTGACGATTTGTATGCACACGGATTGAGACGGAATTGCTTTTAGTAATATATCACTAGATTAAGCTCCGTTTACACTTTTTCTAGTATATTTTTAAGCTTAATTCTGATTATTTTTGACGACAAAGCGAAAAAAATTCCACCCCTCCATAAAGTGATAGCTCAAATGGTAGGAAAATTTGCTCATAAAAAAATTCGCTCTGACGCTACGTAAGTAGATCTTAAAAACTAGCTCAACCACGCTTCCGTTGGAGCTGTACGACCGAAGCTATCGTCGATTTAAAGAACTGGTATTTCTTTTTCGGACCGGAGAAGTATCGGTATAACTAAAGTGTGGAATTTGGGTGACCATTTGGCATCGGTGTAAGCAAAGAGTGGAATTGAAGTGGAGGATATGGGTGGTAATTTAGAATCCGGTACCTATGATCGGCTACTTGAACTTAACCGGATAATTTAAAATATATTGATAGGATCCAGGGTGTTATATGCGCTATCGAATACTTTTCATTTTTACTCGGTCATATGTAAGACTATGCGCATGTTATATATTGTGTTATACATCCGTTTCGCTCGTCATTGGCTCACTGCACAGATCTCATGATTAGTCGGTACGCTGTGGCTAGGGGGGGGGCGTCGGACCTGCAAGGTTGCCGTGTTGAACCGCCTCGCGGCTCGGCAGCATTTCGTCCAGTGATAGATGCATCTTGGTTCTACGGACGGATTCGCCAAAAGACGGACACGCTTGTATAGTAGTGCTTTGGACTAGCCGAGCGCGGCTGCTTGGCGGCGGTGGGTCAGTGGTAGGTCCCAACTGTTTAGGACACCTGCCTCCGATTTGCTCCGACGGGCTGATGTCTGTGTATTACACATCATCAAAGTAATTAAAGGACAATTTGCACTGTAAAACACGTGTTGTATTTAGTGTCAGATCACATTCTCAGACATGAAGGCAGCACGCCTGCACTTTGCTCTGGCTGGCTAAAGGTTTGCTTCGTTTATAAGCGAGACAGCGTGAAAAACATTAATGCAAATATTCCTGCCTACACTCAAAGGTCTTACTGTACCCTATGTTTCTAGTATACACTCCGTCCTCCTCCTCCTCCATTTTGGGGTATTCGATCAGCGCTTCGTATTTTAACCTTGCTGTGACTCTGACCATTGCGACGTAGAGTCGTCCGTGGGAGAAGCACGGTGTCGCCAAGTACAGCTCCAGGTACTGGCCAGACCATTGCGACGTAGAGTTGTCCGTGGGAGAAGCACGGTGTCGCCAAGTACAGCTCCAGGTACTGGCCAGACTGCTCTTGCACCGTGTTGATAGTCATTGCGAAAGTGAGTTGAATCTAAAACTGCTTGCGCCTCATCCAGAAAGGGAAATTTCCAACGTAGTCGTCACTGATGTAAACAATCCTAGGGATGAGCCCGTGCTGCCCTTGGCGATCGCCTGTCATGATGGTTGCGTGAATGACGTGGTTCTTTAGCTGAACCATTCGCAAGCGCGTCCCGTTACACAACCCAAGATCAGCTTTCAAGTTTTGCATCATCGTAACAGGCATGCCCTTCTTGGGCATCGGCTTGTGGGGTGGGATACCACTCATTTTCAGCAAATGGAGACCTCGGGCTAAAACAATTGCCATCGACGTCATCTTGCACTGAGTCCAAATACACATATTTCTTGGCCTAACCTTGTAAACGGTCCGCCACCGGCTCGTTACTGCGATGGACCACCGCATTTATAGTCGTCCAAATCGTGCGATTGGCGAAGTACTCATCTGTTGTCACTTCTGGGCTGTTAATGTCTGGGTATATAGCGTCGACTATTTGCGACATGCCTCTGAGGATAGCACCCGGGCGGGTTTCTTCATATTTGTCACCACGCTCTGCGGGAAGCGGGTTATCTGTAATGGGCCCAACTCCAATTACATAAGTAGGTAGATATTTCTTTAGCTATTACATAAGTAGGTAAAGTGGCACACGGGTAGCGTGTGCCAAAGTGTCATCATCTGATTGGTTGATAGTGAGGAGCCAGACTCACTTATTGACCAATCAGATGTAGACATGTTTTTGAGTGGTTCACACGAGGCCAGGGGTAGCCGCCCTGGTCCTAAATAAATCAGAGTTGAATTTGACACAAACCTAAGACTTGGTTTTATTATTGCGAGCTTCCTCCGCACTATAGTGTAAGCTAGTAACGGTATCTCTTACCCCGTTACACCTGGTAGCACTTCGTAGTCCTTCCAACAACCAAGTCTACGATGAGCCAAGTCCAGATCTCCGGGGCAACCCTGGAGCATGCTGCATTCCCCCATCTCACTCGCGTGGAGTGGGAAGCGCTTCACCGCCTCGTGGCGGTGTCCGGAGACGCTGTCGTCGCATCACTGCTGAGCTCAGCGACGCCCGACCAGCAACGCCTTGCAGCACAAGAGTTCATGGAACGCGAGCTCGCCGATGCGAATCGGCGGGTGTCAACTCCCTCGCGTCCATCCCAGAATGACGTCGTCAAGATGGAGACGTCTACGTATTCTGGCGCCGGTGAAAACCGGCTTCCGCTAAACCGGTGGTTCCGCGAGATCGACATCGCTATCGCCTCGCGACGCATCGAGGCGTCAT